CGTTACCCTCTATCCAGCTAGATCAAGAATGAAGCAGAAAGAAGGAACTCTCAACTCGGGCGGAGACTGAAACTAAAACAGTGGTCAAGGATTATTGGTTACATTAACTGAAGTGTACGCTAGCGTATGAGGATCAGATCTGATACCGTCTGACAGATTTCAATGATGGGTTCCCACAAAGTTCAAGAGGGGCAATTAATTTCACCACCGACCTACAAGTTTCACAAAAACGGTACACAGTAAGTGGATCACTATAACTAAGGCTTCATTTGTAAACTCATGACCTCGATAGTGTCTACGGTGAAGTGTTGGGTCAGTTGAGTACATCAAGTGGTGTTTGTCAAGGATGTCATCTCTATACATTTATTCAACTTTATCATAGATGCACTTTGGGAGATACATGAAAAGCGTAAAAGTGTTTAAATTTCCTTGCTTTGGTAGTATAGGCCGTGTGTAATTGTTTCACAACATCAGTAATGCAGAAGTCAGGTGTAGTTTTGGGTAGATGGAGAACGTCAGTCAGTTAGTGAGGTCATGAACCTTCATTGGCTCAGGTGATTGGATCATGAGCTATCGTCTGCCTTGTTGCACAATATTAACTAGTCAGTTTAGAATTCAAAAACGTCAAGGGTAGCTATACTACAACATGACATCATTAGATGAAGTCTCAGACTGTTGGACTGAGCAATTTAGGGGAATTTAGACTTCCCAGATGCGGCACACGTGATAACAGAAACCAGTGCATGGAGATCTTAGGTGATGTGTTTTGGAATCAACTCCAGTGGTTCAGATACACCTGTACATTATCTTCATTTCAATTGTCCCACCGAAATTTCGTCATTATTTTGTTCCTTCTTCCCTCTTTGCACAAATTTCTAATACTTTTAATTACATTTTCCTACAATTTCTTTATCTTTCAGCTCGTTACCTCCTATCTTGACATGTTGACATGTAGTGTGGCAACTTGAAACGTTAAGGCGGCAATACCAGGTCTCACTAAAATACTAATGGAGTTACGCAGTGCAGGCATATAATTTCGATAAATACTAACATGAAGAAAGCTGTGAATGAAACAGCACCCAATTGAGATCGTTAATCGATATCTAGCTATTATGAAAAAAACTAATTGATTGTGCGGAGGTAATGATGGAGTGCTGCCTGACTAAAAAGTGAAACAACGATAAGACATGATGTAGTGTGGTCGAGTGATATACTTGATTAAAAAGCTACTGCCAAAACCCGAAGTGGGATATCACCATGAAGACTGACAACTTGCTCCTATTATATCTTGCATTTTGCATCGTTTAATGAAATAAGAAGGATACGTATAGGAAATTACTGAACCTCAAAATAGTGTGAATATATATGATCTAGCCTGAAATGTACAATTATTTACTAGTGGAAATGAAGGTCATACGACAGTCAATAATTTGTCATTAAGAAATATAAGACAGCGTTTTTGTCTCCTATAATAGGTTACTTTTGCGTTGTTAGTTGTTGTCACATAGGTAATATGTGACGTAACGTATGCTTGTATAAATAATTGCGTTAACCAGTTTCAAGGTCGTATGATTAACTTATGCTTATTAGCTCATAACAGAATCATTGGGCGTTTACATATCACCTCAGATTTTATCACTAGTCATTTGCTTTGATAAATATCAGTATAACCAGTGTAAAGTAGAAGTATATCAAGTTTATGTTATACCAACTGTTTCATCACATGACAGATACAGTCAAAATGTTGATTCATAGGTTAACACAATACACCTTACTTTATTTAACGTTTCTTTTTCAGCGCAAGTAATATCACAGTAAAGATTTGTCAGTAAGGAGATTTTTTTCCTCGTCAACATGTTCTCGGTGTTCTCAGCATACCCTTAGGGGAGGGAGGGGAGAACGAGACTGGTTATTTCTCTTCTCTAGTTCTTGCTAACGATGTTTAAAAAAGGCTGATTACTCACGTTGGTCAAATTCAATACAAACACTAATTATGTAGTGTTGGGATTATATCTAGAATAAAAAGCCGAGATAACTACATAACATGGTGTTTGGTGAGAAGAGTTTTTGACCATCCATCGGCTCATCAGGAAAGCTAAATCTGAAACATTATATCCTTTTCATGAATTTGATTAATGTAATCAGAAGAAGGCATTCAAATGGCAAATACGATGCATTCGCACAAAATATTTCTAACAATCTGATTGCATATCTACCAATTTACGTAAAAAGGAAGAAAAAAACTATCAACATAAGAACTGGCACTACTGCGTAACAGTCCATGTTGCCACACCTCATATCAGCACGTAAAGCGAGAATACACCAAGATGGGAGATGAAGAAATAAATAATAAAGCAGTCAAAATTGGCAGAAAGTCGTGGAAGAGAACGAGCAGGCAATGAGATAACAATCAGATTTGGTATGAAGATTATGATGAAGATAATGTGTAAATACATTTGCATCACTGACATCGATTCTAAGGTATCTTACCTAGAGTCCCCAACCACTGGCTTCTGTTGTTATGCCAACCCCAACCAGTAAGTCTACATTCCCTTAAATGGTTCAGACAAGCAGTAAACGATTTCATGGAATAATGTTTTAGTCTATCAGCCTCTAAAATATTTCTAGCGCTAAACTACCTCAACCAACAATGAGGTAGACGGTGATTAGGCAAGAGTAACACATGTCACAGCCACCTTAGTCGTTGTGAAAAAAAGTGGAAATGGGAAAAAGAACAGAGCAGTTATAACAATACAGGATACGAGAATGAGAAGAAGAGAAAGGAGAAAAATGCCGTTTTTACATTAGCTCTGGTAATAAAATAAGATACATCACCAATGTAGGCAAAGCCTAACGGGAAACTGTTTTTTGACACACGAAGATAAGTGAGTGGTTAAATTCAGGTAGGGCTTCCGAAAATGTACGGTATTATGTCAACGTTGTATTCTCTAACTTAAATGGTTCAATTGCGACGTTATCATTGCCTTTCTGAACAACATCAGACACAGAAACTTTCAAAGTTTGCATTATCACAATTTTCAAATGAATTTTGTTTTTGAGTTATGCTATTCAAAAGTAGATTATTAATTAAACTAGAATAACACTTAAGGTTGGAAGTCTGAATATGTGTATGCTGCAGAGTGTGACATTCTTACAGTACATCCGCTAATTGAATCTTTTCAATTTACTTACCGAAGGAATATACAAAAGCAATATGAACTGGTTAAAGAAGTAAACCTTGAAAGTCAACTTTATGCTAACAGGTACTTGATATATACCATGGGAAAATGAAGAATTAAGCTAAATAAATGCAAATTGATTCAGGATTCTAATCAAAAACATGGGAAGTGAATAATGAAGAACAAAAGGGTTATGATATCGCTGAAAATTAATTATCTACATATATATAAACTTATGACTAAGATTCGCTGAAATGATGGACGAGGTTTCAATGGAAAGTTTCGATTGAGGATTAGATTTTACAACAGACAGCGGGAATGATGGATATAGCCTTAGCAACATAAGCTTATGTAACCATCTGTTCTTCAGAATGCAATTAGAGACTGAATGAGACATTGACCTCAATCCTTAAACTCTGTAAACTATGACAAACTGTTTCAAACAGTCTTCGAATGATACTAGTGATCGAACTTCTAGAAGTATGACAATTAGGAAAGGTTTTTCTGAGTAATTTTAACCACTGGCAATTTCACCTCAGAAACCAATAAGAATTCTTCGGTAGAAATCACGGTACAACTGACCAGATAAACAGTTTTCAAGATTGAAATGGAGGATGCAGAAACTAGCACAACGTTGAATTCACTTAAAATCATTTAGTGTCTCACCAAAAGTTTCTGAGTACACGCTTAAAACCTGTAAGCTTCAAAAACACTTGAGATCATGTGGGATCATTTGTAAATCAATATCTGAAGTAAAAGAAACGTGGAACAAACTTTCGACAGCAACTATTTGTAAAATCATTCAAACTATATAGGCTTACTGAGCACAGTAAATATAATACCACGAATCAGTTTATTAGATTCTTATCATTTACCAATATGGCTTTATGATCACTGATACTAACTAATATCATTGACTAGTAAATATATTGCCCTTATCACAAAGTTGCAAGATGATTTCGTCTAATTTAAACACTCCACGTAAAAGACCAACCGAAATGAACTATAAACAGTCTACTTAAAGAAGTCAGATAGATTTTGTAACCCAGAGCTGAGAATCAGTTAACCACACACCATTTCATTAAGACTCATTTAATTTCTTTCGAGTTCTGTTGATAATTACTGAGATGAGTAAGATTTAAGTGAACAGATTTTAACGTACTCAGCTGGAACCGTGAAACTCATCAAAATGTTATGCATATAAGTGTATAATTACTGATGAAAATGCCTCAAAACAAAAAATGGTCACAACCAGCAGAACGTAATAGTAACAGTAGCTTTGACTGAACATTAACTTAAGTCATTGTCTGTACTGTGGAATGTACTGGACGGATTTCAACTTTTCGATCCGATATGTTTATTAGGAAAACATAAATTATGTCTACTGTTTCATATGGTATGAGGCCACTCACTTGGTTGGCTTATTTTGAAAACCATCCGTCAGGACTTAAGAAATCTTGCAGGTAAGAAGAAAATTACACAAAGTAATTCTTTTGGGCATTTACTAAGCCACTTTCAAATAAACATCAACATTAAGTACTAATGAGGATATATCCTAACGCGTAAACAAGTTATAAGTAGATAAAACTGATATCTTCATACTGAAATGGTTTTGAGAAATATCCAATCACATAGATTATCTCCTGACATTCATGGTTTGAGTAGAAATAAAAGGTGAGAAATAGCTTCCTGACACTTTATAAATAACAATGTCTACATCACCAAAAATCCTCCGAGAAATCATTACATTATTTACAATACAAATGTTCTGCAGGACATAAATGAATTAGAAAATCAAAAAAAGCAAATAAATTCACTAACCGTTTTGTATGTGACACGTATAATTTGATTGTAAAATATCACTTTGGTTACTGTTTGTACTAGTCACCGAAACAGAGGTGGTACAAGTTGGAGAAGCAGCAGTGGTTGTTATGGTTGCGGTGGTGGTGGATGAGACTGCAGTTGTAGAGGAATGATAAACACTCCCGATACTGATAGAAACTTTAGAAATCAACTGATAAATACTAATCACAAGACATAAATCATCATTTTGTTTTATTCCAATTCGTTCATTTATAGACCTTTTTGGATATTGATTCAACAAGCGTGTGATAGATACCAGAAGAGATTGTAAATCATACAGTGGTTTACTTAAACGTTGAAGTAAATTGACAATTCTTTCAACATTTTCACAGTCATCATTGAATAGATCAGATTCAATATTGAGGTTAACATTAGCCACGTCATTACTATTTGTACTTGTATCCAATACGGTCAATAATGATAGATAATGATCCAAGCAAACTTTATCAGTGTGAATAGAAAACACAAAATTAGTGTAATGTGAGTTAATGTGAAAATTTATCCCTCATAACAAGTTGTGATTAATACGTTTGAAGAAATACACAAGAACTACAAAATACGTTTATACAATGATACATACACACACGTGTACACATACAAATACACAGGCACATTTACGACTCAATTTCTAATTGGTTTGGTGTCTGAGTTAATCATCAGGTGACTGACATATTTCGGGAAAGTAATTGATTTGTAAAGGAAATCCAATAGGTCATAGTGTGTGAAAATCAATCAACATGTACTTATAAAAATTCCAAAAAACCGTTTGTATATGTATATGTAAAATTTCCACTGGGTTGATCAAAAAGAGCGTGTCGAATTATTAGGTGTCTAAAATTTTTTAAAGTCTTGTTGATCCTTTACTGATTTCAAACTATTTAGCATTGAGATTTATCAGATATCAATAGAAATATTGGGAAAGACACTAAAATGTTTAATCACAGTGGTGACAAAGGAGTAGTAGATAAACAACCGATTACATTGCGCTACCAAAACAGGCCTCCAGTTTACCGGTGAAAAAACTTTCATGACGTATTTTTTTTCTACAGTTTATACAAACGATGCTATCTAGTGTAACGACGATATTGTATTTCTGAAATAATCAGATGTAATACAGGATTAGAAAGATTATTCCACAGACACGTTTACCATCAATTTGAAGCGAAATACTTTTAATTAACTGGTTAAGGCATTTATTTCGAAAGTTCTCCAGATGGAAATCTGCAATATTACCGTTGACAGCCACGTCGAAAACAATTACGTGAAAACGCTGACGACAACAATGGAGCAAAATTAATCGGCAAGTGTGTTACAAAAGTACTTTTCTCAAATATGCACCATCGGGAATTAAATTCACTTGAATTTGTTGTTAACTTTGGGTAAAAGATAGTCAATAGGTAATTTCAAGTCTAATATTGTTGTCAAATTCTGGAAGTAAAGCCTTATCCAGCACGAAATTCTGCTTTTAAGGAAAAAAATTTATTATTCGGCAAGCATGGTAAAGATGATGATAACGACGACTGTATTCGCGGTTTGAACGAAACACAAGCCAATTTTTGGGAGTAAAATTTTCACCTATCCTGAACCCTCTACGGAAGAGCTTGCGTCATCTGTGGTGCTGGCAAGATATCCAAATACCTATCAGAGAACGAATATACTGTGCTAAAGTCCGTTCTGTCCTGTTGCGAAATACGGCTGAGACAGCCGTTAAAAGTAGAAGACATGAAGCGGTTACAAGGTTTTCATCATAAATGTTTCCTTTTGATGGAACCATCATGTGAGTAGTGCTACGGTCAGGTGAAGAGTACTAAGCAAGACAGGCAAGTCGATTGATGAGATTGTGAACCTTCATCAGCTGAGATGACTTGGACATGTACTGTACATGCCGAGCTACCGCATACCTCGGCACGCCGTACTAAGAGAAGTTGTATTAGGTTGGAAAAGGGTTCACGGTGGCCAGACCTATATACATCATCAGTCGATGAAGTCCCAAACTGCTAATCTGAGCCACGTAGGAGAATGGAGACTTCCTGGTTGGAGTCCCTAGGACAATAGGAATCAGGGGTTGAGAACTCCTGGTCGCATAGTTGGAAACCGGTCACAATGGTGCAGATGTATACACTCCTTGACGTCTTCTAAAACTTGAATATTCACACAAACATTTATCTTCAAATTGTTTATCTCTGACGCAACTTCGCCTACTTCGGTATAATCCCTTTTCTACCCATCTGTTTTCTGTTTACTACTGTGAAGTGTGGCAACTTGAGTTGATGCACTTGTGTGAGAGGTTCTACATTGATTCTATCTCTATATCCACGTAGGAGCTAACGTTCTAGACAACATAGGTAGGGGACGTATTTTCGTTGACATAAATCATCTGAATTCATTTCAATCAATTTCTTAGAAGTAGTGTAACCTACATTCATTACCTAAATACGAATGATTATCCCACCTGTTATTAAAAATACTCATATATTGCACGGAATATCGGAAACTGAGCTCAGCGACTGAGTAAATCCCAATTACATTGCTGTTTCAAGTATCTTCAGTTGGCGTTATGAAAGTATTCGCAAACCATTCATCAATACCCCTAATCATGATTGTCTAACAAAAGTGCATTTTAACATTTCAAAGGAAAACTTACAAAGATGCCACAATTATAGTCAACAGATGATAAGTAAAATACATGACATGTATAGACACTTTTCTACCATTTAATTTCAATGAATATGAAGCCCTACTAATTGAAAAAAGGACACTCTGAATTAAATATGATCATGCCGACTAAAAATTGAAAATACGATAGTTTCATTGCCTGCCGATAACAATAAAGACAGAAATAGCGAAAAGTATGAATGTTCATTTGATGTAAATCAGTCCAAGAGGCAAATTTGGAAGGTAGCATAAGAAGACGGAATAGTTTTATACATCTAATTCACAAATAAACTCTCACTTGTAATCCATAGCTAATATAAGTGAAGAAAATTTCCATGATTTATTTTTCAACCATGAGAAAGAGAAAAACAAGGAAATTTACATAGTTCGGAGATGTATATGCGTAAAAACTTCTGTTATATACAAAGAATTAAGGAGTAAGAATGTGTCCTAACGAACGACAGATTCGACTGTTTATAAAAACTTGGATACCAAATTAATGTGATTCATTGCACAAGGTGTAATTTACTTGTGTATTCCCGACGTATTATATTGCGAAAAATAACAAAAATACAAAATATTTGTTTACTTCGTTATTTGTTCTAATGTACTAGACCTGGATTACAGAAAGGAAATCCACCATATATGATGAATTAAAAAGTAACTTAAACTATGTGTTCCCATAAAACATTTACTGAAACCTCTCAGTATGCTCAAATTTCCTGATTTCCAAATGGCTATGGAAGCAAAAATCACCTAGTAGTGTATGATTTCATCTTCGCTACATTTCGTACTCATTCACTAATATTCTAATCAGGTCAGCTAAGCGTTTGGCGTTTGAAGCGATGGGTACGAGGTTGAAGTCTCAGAGAAAATAACATCACTCATTAGGGTCCAGGTACATCCAACTGACGAGTCCAAAACAGGGCGAAACGTGCATCCTGGATTCCTATGCTAGCAAAAACTAAATAAATTATCATAACAAATATCCAGACAATATCGAGGCATACACATAGGAGCCCGTATGCCAACAGAGGTCGAACAATTCGATTCCGTATAGCAACGGAGAATTATAAGTATATCAAGAGATAATTTTCAACATGTTTTGTGAAGTCCATTACCATTTTGGGTCAGCGGAATACAGTTGTCTCTTCCCGAAGTCAGCTCATATGACGATAATAAGATTAAATTTGAACACAGCGACTCGGCGCATTAGTAGCAAATAGAACTAGTGTTTTGTAGTTCTTTTAGTTTACTAGTCATGAGGCCGAAAAAAACCTAAATGGAAGACCAATCACAGTGACCAAGATATCAAGTAAAAACATAACACTAACCAAATTAGTTACATTGTGAAGTAACTTATCAATACAATGGACTCAGTAAAGGTAACCTAAATATTACATTAATAAATAGTGATTATGAAAAGGTGATTTACTAGTAGTTTTTGGAAAAGATTAAAACAACTTATGGAAAAGACAAAATGAACACACAAGATAAACTATTTGCCGTTTGAAAGTATGAAAAATAGTCACACCGTCAAAATTGAGTGGCAGTATCAACTAGTTATCATTTAGAGACAAAAAGTAGGAAACTTTGGGTTTCAAAGGCTTAAGCAAGAACACAGTCTGGTGATCATTTGGATGCAACTGAAATCATTTTAATACACTACACATAAAATGGAGGCTGCTGATAGTAATTAGGAATAATAACAAATATGATAATTCAATTAAGAGGTTTGTGGGGATTTATTGATTGATTTCAGGTTGAAATTCACCATGAATTGATATCAGTCGAAAGAACACTGGAAACCTGGGAGCACTGAATATCTATTTCATCTTAGTATGGGACTCTTCAACAGTGTGCACCCATGACCCCATCCTGCCAGGGATCAAACTCAGGATAGTCATGTTCAGAGACCAGCACGTTACAAATGAGCCACTGGTACGGAACCCAATGATCCATATTTCCTACTTCTGTCAGTTCACGATATAGCGCGAGCTTCATCCAGTACCGTTGTTGAGTAGCTGTTCTCACGTTCGACTTGGTTGGCCCAACTGGTTACGACTTCACATTAGAATTTCTGGAATCACCACTCGACGCTAGTCACTAATGAACACTAGATTAATTCAATTTTAAGGTGTGTAGTGATTCATATATTTTTATCAGGTTGGTAGTCATAATGAACTGATGTTAGCTGGAGAAACAATGGAAACTTGGGAGCACTGGACAGTTGTTTCTTCCTAGTATGGCATCCCTTAGCAACACTCACCCATGGTCCTGACAGGAATCGAACCCAGGACGCTCAGGTTCCGCAGCCGGAATGTTACCATTGAGTCACTTGGTTAGAATCGAATGGTGCAAATCTTCTACTTTTCTCTAACTGTTGTCGGTCCATGATGAATACCAACAATAAAAAACTGAGAATAATGAGGTTGAGTTTTCTGAGACAATTACAATTAATTACACACTGCTTGGACTATCATGCTGATTATTAGCTAATAATTTTTTCTACTACCATGCCATATGCTTTTTCTATGTTTCTCTTGATTATACAAAGGTGAAAACAGTACATCTTATCTTCCACTGCGTGTTCTGTTGAGGAAGCTACAAATCTATACGAAACTCAATTAAAGTGAATAACTGGGGAATTTCCATTACCTTAAGACTGCGTGAAACTTAAAAATAAAGATGTAAAAAGTCAACGCTTTTCTAATAATTAATTTTGAGTCCGTCAAAAGAGCTAGGTTGTGTGCTAAATGTGGCTGTTGTGCTCCGAAAATTACCTA